TTATTACCCAATTTATGATATCATGTAGTAACCCTTAGCAAAAACATCATGAACATCCTTCGCTGACTCTATTTGACCAAATTACATTATAATCAATCCCAACCATATTTGATTTTCTATGAATATTATCAAATAACAAGGTCGTGAAAGATACACACAGTTATACATTATCAAAGTATAAGGATTTTGTAATAGAAAATTAGTTTCCAAAACCAAATAAAAAGACAAGTTCATTTGAATTTCTGTGAATCTTGTTCCCCTGGTCCAACACATGCTCTTCGAGTAAGGTTGCGATTGGACCTTCCAGTTGCAAAGCTTGCTCCTATTTCGTAACAAGCATGTGAACTGTTTCCCATTAGTTCAACACATGTTCCTCGTATCTGGCTTGTTCAACCATTTCTTCCACAATCTATTCTTTAGTTTTTTCCTTCTCAGTGGCCATCCTTGAGAGACTTGGCTTCCTACCCTGCTGGTTTCACATTGACCTTACCTCAACTACATACATTGGCTTTAAAGTGACCTTCTTCCCTTAAAACATCAGTTCATACTCATTTATTCTCCCTCGGTGCATCACATCCATGTCATATTGTCATGTTTGTCCAAACAAAATGTGACATGCATCCATTAGAATTACATCATAAAGCACCTTATCCTCATAGATCCCTTCTTCAAACACACCTAGACTTGCTTAGTCGTCAACACCTTGTTTCTGTCATCCAACCAATGCAACGAATACGGGTTTAGGTGGGCTGTTGTCACCAAACTCAGTTTTGACACCATTTCACTCGTTGCCACATTAGTACAACTACCCCATCGATAATCACGGAACAACCCTTTTTTCTCACCAGGCAGTTCGTATGAAAGATCTGGTCTTGATGATCTGAATCAGTGTGAATCATTTTGACTGATCGCCGAGAAATCCCCCTTTTCTTTCTTGAACAATAACGTCAGCTCAACCACAACAAATCAACAACACCTCAACAAGAATTCTCCTTTCTTTTCCTGAATAGTAACAACAACAACAAAGATAAAACCTGACAGGTAACTTTTTTTTTTTAAGTTTTTTTTACAAGAACAGCAACAACAAATTAACAAAACCCGTATGAACTTGGGGATTTGATACCACAACTGATGCATATCTAGACCTCAGATACGACTCTTGTAGTGGAACAAAGAACAGTTGAATCAAAGATAAGAACAAGTAAAGAAAAATGATAGATTTAAAGTCCACACTAGACATATAGTTTGTATCTTCGATAAAAACAAACCAACACCTATTAGTTTGAGTTTGAGATCAAAATCAGGAGGTGTATCCCAAACAAGATCAGATTTGAATTGTAAGCAACAATTCGATAAGGTGAACACAAGTTCAAATGTTTATAAACTTCAATCAACAGCTTCCTTACAAATGATAGAACTTGGATTTTGTGGCCTTACAAAAGAAAAATAAAAATAAATAAAATGACACCTAATTATTATGCCATTTAATGGCTTATTTAATACACTAAAGAATAATTAATAAAACTAAGTAAAAACAGCTTCAACATTGAAATTGACTTTTCAGCTCCCGAACGTGACCTTTCTGAGCCGACTCTTAGAATTTTGAGACCCTGCGTTCGCATCCTAACTCCCCGGAGTGGAATTCTCTTTCGCATCCGGACTCCTCTTCTCTACGAGCCACAAGTGAATGCGAACAACATCGCAACAAACATAAAATGAATGCAACCAGGTGCGATTGATCGCAATCAATCATAAACACCAACAATGAAAATTGGTTCAAGACCATCCCATTCGCAATGAGTTAGATGGTCTAACGTCTTGGACCCATTCACAACGTCTCACATCCAACCATTAGTCTCATTATTTTACCTCTAATTGTAGTCATTTTATGACTTACGCAACTTAAAGCAATAGGAATCATTTGCAATTTACCATTATAATCAATTAAGATTGGTTTGGAACTTGAACTTGGCGAATCGCAATCTACACACTTATCAATTCTCACATTATAAGTTTTAGGATAGACCTTTCAATTTAGTATACTATTGTTAATATTCAAACAAGAATTTTGACAATAGTCCGTTGTTATTTAGTGTAAATAATAATAAAATAATCAAAACTCCACAATCATATTATAAGAACTTCAATTTACAAGCATATCAACCACCCATCCACTTAGAACTAGGTGTCTAAGGCTCAATACAACCAAACCACACTTTTTTCCTTTAAAGCTCAAAATATTATTAGTGGAAGTACAACAGGTAAATTATATTTTCAATAAAACCACCCACATATTTAATGATCACATTTACAATCCTTTTTTGCTCTATAAGAGCCTCCAAGTTGGTTATGGCATGTAAGCACACTAGCTTCCAAATAAAAACTACTTAATGTGTGGATTTGATACAAAGTGAATCTTGGGGTAGATAGATATGAAATCAATAGATCATGTTTATCGTTTCTCTTTCCCCTAAACATTAGGATTCAATACAAGGTGAAACTTGAAGTATCTAGTATCAAATCAACATATCATGTTTGCCGTTTCTTTTTCCTCTTTGAGAACATCCATTAATAAATACTTGTCAATATGTTACTTATTCTTGAACTTACATATATTCTCCTTTCTTATTATTACAAATATTACATTTATTTATATTACTCGATCTATTACAACCATCATTAAAGGACTTTCATTTATCAAACTTTTCCGTACACACAAGGATCATACATAAACGAAGCCAAATAGAATTTAAAGAAGCTGTACAATTTTCAAATTAGCGACCATATTATAAATAGAGTTAGATGAATGGTAACTAATAATCTATATTCTTAATGGATCCTATAAGGTCAGTTTCCTCATTGATATTTCTCCCTTATGTTTGTATTAATAAGAATTTTAATGTAAGACAATCCATATGGAATAATAAGAGATTCAAACACAAAACATTAATTTCGATTATTCATTGTAAAATGTTAATATTCACTAAAGAGTTTCAGATAAGGAAAAATATGAGTATACATAATCATCTATGATAAAACTAGACAAGGTTGAATAATTCGTGGATTCCATAGTTGAAAAATATTTTTGGATAAACTACCTAGATAGATCAAGATGTCATAGATAACATAGGCTACTAGCTTTTCTAAGGTAGGTTAGGCTGCTAGACAGGTAGGATGTTAGGCAACTTGAGCTGCCACCAAGCATACCTATATTCAACATGTTTTTAACAATTAGGATGTTAGGAAAATTGGTTTGATCTTTAAGCTATCTATGGATGGAGTGGGACTACCTCCATATGCTCTACCCTTTATACCCTACAATGAGTGTTGTATCTTGAACTTGTACGGGCCCACAACCCATTGACCTTGTATTCTTCATGTTTGAGAAAAATCTTTTCTTATATACAATTATCTACTCTATGATAGCTAACTTGTGTTAAATCATCGTTTATTTCCCCATTATGCACTCCTGTTAATTCTTATTACATATAATGGTAAGTGAAACTAAAATCATGAATTCGCATAAAAAACTTCAATTGAGAAAACATCTTTGAATGTTATTTTGATGAGGTAGTTGATAACTAATCCACCAATTTCTCTGCTTTCCCTCATGATTTAGAATTTACTTCCTACTATTGTCCTACCTAGCATAATGATTCATAATATTTAACCATATTTTTCATTTTATATTGTAAAATGTTGCCAATATACATCAACATAATCAAATTACACCCCTTAAAACCCTATATTTTTATTGAATTTTCCTTTTACTCATTATTTTTAAGAACTTTCCTATATAGTATGTGATTCTTTAATTTAAGGGAGCCAACTTATGTTTTATAAAAGAACATTACAATCCTCATTGAATTACTTGTTAGCATCATTAAAAGATGATTCTTGAAAAGGGACAACTTGGAGCACATGACTTCTAATAGTGGAAGACCTCAAAGATAAACGGAAATTCACATAATATTGATCGTTCTCCATGTGATTGAGTTGACCCCTAGACACCACTAGAAAAAAACAATCACTTCATGTCTAATTTTCAAAAATCACCATTCTTCTTAGCCCTAGCAACTAATTAGTGTTGAGGAAAATACAAATTGTGCCACATATATCAATATAATTATATCACTTTTATTGATATCAAATATGTCATTTAATATATATTTTGTTAGTAGAGATTAACCATAATTATATCTATTTGAAGGCATATTTGACCCAATACTATCATATTATATATCATGTCAACAAACATTTTTTGGTGTAAAGTTACTTGGACCCACTAAAACTTAATGTATGTAATTTTAATCCCTCAAGGTTGAGTTTATATATTTCTAGTTTCTTTCTATTGTTTTAAATTTAACATAATATACTTCTAATTTATGTGTATTAAAACACCAAATTATATTTTTGTAAACAAATGTCTTATTTATCTAAATAACTTATACATGTGGATTTTTTATTTGATTTGATAATGTAACAATTATTTTATACTAATTGTACAAAAATTATTTATTTAATTGGTATATATATTTAGTAATATAATTTATAACTTTATTTGAAAAAAAGTAAGATAATTTTATAAAAAAAAAATATATAGTATTTTGAAAATTTGAATAAGTTAGAAAAATGGAATATGCTTGGACTACTTATGTTAGTGTATAAATTAGAGTTAGAGGTGGGGATGAATCATTACCTCTATCATTTGTATACTATTTTTGGTACAAAAAAATAATGTTATGGTTGTAGATGGTGTACGCACTATTTTCCCGATTTCAAATTTCTTTTAGAATATTATCATATTTATTATAAGGATATACCAGTTTAGTTTTCATAATCTTCATTGGTTTTATGTATTTGCTTTAGTTACACCTGTGGATCATGGTGGCACTGCCTTAGCAATACTATCCAAAAGGTCGGAAAAATTTGATCTTGTACTAATAGATAGTACATTGAGTGATATCGATGCACATATGTTACTTAGAATAACAAGAAACATGAATCTGCAAGCAATACGTGAGTTCAAGATTACACCCTTAATTTTACCTCTCTAAATTTCAAGTCTAATGATCTCTTTCTGTGTTTATGTTTCTTAAAATTAAATTTTCAAGATAAATGGATTTTTCTCATTCATATTCTTATTTTAAGTGATGTCCAAGGAAGATGATGATCAGACTCTACTAAAAGCTTTGAAGGATGGAGCTTTACTTGTATTGAAGCACCCCCTTACCGGTGACAGGCTAAGGCTACTAAGACAACATGTCATCAGAAAGAGGATACAAAATCTTAACAACCCTAGTGTTATAGATAAGTTTCATCGTGTAGAAAATCTTGGTAACCCTAACGTCACATATAACTTTAGTCATGTCCCAAATATTAGCAACGTTAATGTTGCAAACGCATTTCCTTGGGTCATGAAAAAAGAGCCAACCATGTACGATGGGGATGCGATTGCATGTAAGAGTGTATTTAGTAAGAGGAAGAGTAGGATGCACCTAGTATGGACTCCAGAACTACATGAAAAGTTTATGGATGCTATTAGTCAATTGGGTGAAGGAAGTAAATATATTTCTTCATGTTAATACTCATTTTTTCATTAATAATTGCTTTTGATCTTGTATTACTAAATAAATATTGTATTTCCATTGTAGGGTGTATTCCTAAGTTAATACATGAGCAGATGGGTGTACCTGGTATTACAAGAGCACAAGTTTCTAGTCATCTACAGGTTAGCTATTCACTCATATATACACCAATTTAATTCATTAAATGCTTGATTTCCTTTTTTAGATCTATATCACATGTTTAACGAGAATCTTGTATGGGCATCTAGTATTTCCTATCATTGTTTTGCCCTATATGAGTATTATAAGGACATGTGATGTTTATGGATCTATATCACATGTTTAACCATGTAACGAGACAAAGGTTCATCTCCTTCCTATGAGCACTTGGTATAGTTTGTGTCAGTGAGTGTACCTACTGTAAAGAATCTTATATGGGAGTCAAGTACTCAATATCCCTTTCATTCTTCTCCTTTATATATATATATATATATATATATATATATATATATATATATATATATATATATATATATATATATATATATAGACCCTTTACTTTCTAATTAGTTGGTTATACATAAAAAAATAACTTAAATAGAAATTATTTTATAATTTATGCAATTATAAATTCATAATTTTGAAATGAGAATAATATTGAAATCTTTTGTCAAGTTTTTTAGCTTTATTAGAATGTTTTGTTATGTTAAATAATATAAAAGTTATTATTAAACGACTATATAAGTATGTGACCCATTCATAAACTTCTTAAATATTTTACATTTATGCATAGTAGGAAGAGGTTTATAAAATGTAATAATATGTTGTTATTATTCACAAGAGATTGTTATGAAGAACACTGGAGATGCTTTCATACATGACATCTTTCTAAAATGATAAGTTAGTGATTTTCCAAACAGTGTTTTGAGAGAGGTCACTTAGTTTATAAAAAGATTGCTATTAAGAGAAGTAATTTTTGGAGACATGGTTTATGATAAGAATCCCTAAAAAGTTTATGTAGGATTTCATTATAAACGGATAAAGGTATACCATACAAATCTCTAACCCCAATAACGATACAACGTCATGTAGGATGACACTATTGGCCTCTAACCTTACTAGGGACCTCCTTAAGGGTATTCTTAAATCATTTACTTTTACAAATGTGATATGAACTATATATGAGTCATACTTGGGGGGATATCCTTCTTAAGTTTGTTACATGTGTTCTAATGGGGGGGGGGGTATATTTGTTAAGTTATCACTGACATTATTCTTAAATTAGGGGTTGTATACCTTTTAATTTTGGCATCGTTTGGGGCTCGGGTCGCTTAACTTTTATCATACCTCCACATTTTTATCTGAAATATTATGAGGTTGTTGGTTATTTAGGGTCCTTCAAAGTAGATAACACGATCAACTTTACATACTCATACAAACGGATATATATATATATATATATATATATATATATATATATATATATATATATATATATATATATATATATAGGGATACAACTATGCACCATAAGGTCGGCCAAGCCAATAAAACTATAATACATACATACATACATACATACATACATAATAAGGTAACAAGACCATAGTCATAATAAGATGCCAAGATTGAATATACTGAGTGAAATTGAACTCATGAAGCCGAGAGGTTAAACTTATGGGTGTTTAAAATCAAATATCAAAAATATCGGTTAGTGAGATTTGGTATCCGAACCCTTATCTAAAGTTTTGGATATCTGAATTTTCGCTTTCAGAGTTTCAGATATCCAAAAGTTAGATACAAATTTGAAAACCAAAATTGGATATTTGTAGATTTTAACCATCATTAACTATCAAAGTAATCAAATAACTGTTGTTAATCTTTTAACATAGAGAAAACATAAATCACACAACTAAAAACCTATTAAAATTTGATTCAAAACACACAATTAGCCTATTATTCACTAAATATTAACAAAAAAAAAAGTTAAAAACAGTCACACATTATTCTTAATGTTGCTTAAAGATCCAGATGCTAAAACACTACCTATTAAAAACCAATAACATGTTCTAAATTAAAAAATAATTCAAGTTAAGTAACAATAATCATATCACCTAACACATATATGTATTATAACTACAGGAACCATGAATTAAAAAAATAACATATGATGTTAAATAACATAATTAGAAACTCTTACAAAAGAAAAAGAACCATGTATGTATAAAAAAATGTCACATTACCTAAAAAGCTATATTCGTAAGATCCATTTTAAATAATAGCATAAAATATATTTAAAAAATTAATAAAAATCATATTTTTAGATTTCAAGTATTTGAAATATCCGAAATTTGTAAAAATCACTATAAGTATCCAAATCTGAAAAAGCAAATATCCGAAAACCCGAATAATTTAGATCATATTTAAGATATTTAAGATTAGATTTTGGGACTTGGATATTTCTGAAGCCCTTTAGTTTGATGTCCGTGTTGAATATATCTTGTGTACTGTGATATGCAATAAACATTTAAGGATATTAATATGACTAAGAGCAACCGTCTCACGAAGAAAATAGATGTCTATCTCAATGTGTTTTGTACTTAGTTGTTGAGCTAGGTTGGTGGAAAGATATATCATACTGACAATATTACAATAAATGATTATGGCCTTCAATAGGAGGGTCAGAGGCATCCATATTTTCTTGAGTACCAAATAGGTTGTGAGATGGCACGTAGTTGGACATGTAAGCATGCTCAAGGATGTTAACAACATATTTATGTTGATTGATGAACATGCACAAGTAATCTCAATATAAAAATATTCCAAGACACAAATTTAAATATCTGAGATCAGTCATGGTAACATCTTTGCTAAGAGAAGAAATAACATGTTGAAGTAATGTTAGCGATGAGGTAGTGGTAACAATGTTACCAACTTAAAGGAAAAAGTATGCCTTGGATAAACCATTTCGATAATGAAAAGAGATAGTTGCATAGGCTCTAGAAGAACCAGGGTTAAGACAAAAATCGAGCAAACCTACGAGACCATGAACGAGGTGTTGGTTAAGGTCTAATAGAGATCTCCAAAGATGACAAGCATATTCGGGTTATCGTGGAGTATATGGAGGTTGGTATATGTATACAGTCTCATGTAGATACCCATAAATGAATGCATTACTTATGTCTAGATAATAGATTGGTCATTGATGTGAGTTCGAGAGACAGAAGATTGTCTGAGTAGTATCCAATTTAACTATCAAGCTAAAGATCTAAAAAAAATGGATACTCATTCACTATTTTTCCCATTATCCACCAGTTGAGCTATATAACAAGCTAAAGTTACATCTATGTTATGCTTCTTTTTAATTAAGTAGATTGAGTGAAAAACATTGAAACCTAATCATCTAGGAACGAAAGTTGATGTGACATTTTAATTAGTCCATTGTATTCGTTATTTATAACATTGAACCAATATGGATACTCTAAAGCATGTAAACATAACTAGGGATGGGTGACTCAGTTTGGGTGATGGGATTAAGTCGGGTTATGGGTCTGGATAAGTCATATATAGATTTGCTTACCATATGGAGACGAGGTGTAGTCATATGTTAGGCTCTGGTACCAATTTCCATAAAGGGTTATTACGTAAAATTTAGGTGTTGGCTATCGATAGGAGAGGTTGTCAATGCGGGAGCATCAATGTCAAAGTCTGTTATTAGGTTGGAGGTGTTATTGTCGACGAGGCAACAACGTATGAGTTATTAGAGAGGTTGTTGGAGGTGTGGGTGTATGGGCAGGTAAGGAACTTTTGAGGGATGGGTGTATGGGTAGGTAAGGTACTTTTGACTTATAAAAAAGGTCAGCCCTATATAAAATGACATTTTGGGTAAGGATTATTTTCAATGTTGACATATCATAGCACCATTACTCTGAATAAATGGATATATGTCTAAGGAATAGGCATGGTGTAGTATATAGAGAAAACATATGGTTAGTGATAAGATGTGGATAACATAACCCATAAAACATATAGGTCATAGGAGGATGATGTTTTTCCATATAATTTTATATATGGTGAGTCATTTAACAATGGTGGATGGTTATATGTTTAAGAGATTAGATTTCATGTGAAGTGAATCCAACTAAAGTCTGGATGGAATATGAGACTAAACGAGTAGTAATAAAATGATATTATTTATGGTTTGTGTAAGGTCCCATTTTCAAATCCAAAATTTTCATTTTGAACTAAGGTGAAACGTCACATATTCATAATCCATGTAAAGAAAACCATTTGTTCCAAAGTAAAACTGCTGATGCATGTGTACAGTTACACTTTTGTCTTCCCAAGAAAACGTATGATACTTGAAAAACAATATAAAAAGATTTGTAAGCATGAAGCTTAGTGAATTTATCCAAAATACCCCACACAACAAT